CAAACGATAATGTGCTTAGATTTAGCTGACTTGGCGTACTTGGGCCCCGTGATGCACGCTCTAAGAATATATTTCAACAGAGTCTCAACGGGGGGTTTGCTTGTTTACCAACGGTTAGTCAGGCTGAAAATAAGAGTGCACATCCACAGAAGACAACAGGATTGTGACGTATATGTAAGATAAAAGCCCACATTAGTACAGACAAACAACTATATGTTCTGCTAGACATTAATATGTTGATAAATGTGACTGTATGGACAGTTCTACACGCAAACGTTTTACATGTTTGTACACGAAGAGCGATGCGCTCCCTTATTCACAGCGATGGAGGCAAAAGCACTTCTACGGGCTTCACATCGACCCAGCGTGCAAATGTTGACATTTAAATCCAGGATGTTTGTGTTGTCACAAGGAAGAAAGTTAACTGTCCCCTTCTTCACCTGGTGCTTGTTGGTCCCATTGGTGCTTTGAGCCCTTTCCCATGTGGGCTTTGCAAGAACTGAACCGTGGCTGCACGTCCTTTAAACTGGGGTTTACTGTAGGGCGTGAGCCTCAGCGCCGCTGAACAGTTGGGCCGCAAGCTGGACTTTCATTTTTTTTTTGTCGCCACAGAATTTGTGCCGTTTTCGTCCTGTCGCCAAGCCGCAGACCTTCCTTTTCTCGCAGTTCGTGGAGTTCCTCAACGTACCGCCGTCTGATTTGTTTCTCATCTTACGTCTTCAACACCAAAGTTGTAGAAAATGCATTTTTATATATATTTTAACATGGATCCAAGAGCACGTGCACCTTCTTTGTTTGATCCTCTGGATGGAGAAAATGGGTTCTCCCGTTTGTGATGCCAGTTTTTTGGCACCGAGCTCTTCCAGGTTCTTGAAGTTTCAGGAGATGTGGTGGACCCACACTGGTAGATCTACAGTCCATCTGAATGGATATACGGGTCAAATCTGACCCAAAACAGCCTCAGTGTACAAACATTTGTAGCATCTGTACAAAAGTATTAACATTTTGTGTATTTTGAACATTTTAGGGAAAGTCATCAAATTTCAGGCTGATAGAACGACGCTTTGGGTGTTTTTACTGCTGTCAAACATCAAAACGGGTCAAATTTGACCCATAACATTATGCAAGGGTTAAGTTCAAGAGCAGGATCTCTCCTCAAACACTCCCCTTCCTGCCATGTGCCATAAATGCCTTACCCTGTCATCTTCTGCCACTCCCCTTCCTTTCTCCTCCTCCTTTGAGGTGGGATGTCGGCCAGATCTTCAGTCGTCATCGTCGTCATTCGTCCAGAACGCTACATTTACTAGAAGCTTCGCCAGTCTGGCGTTGTAGCCCTCTCGGATTTACACACCTAAACTTATGTAATGAACATAATGTTCATGAAAGCCAGCCAAGTGGAATGTGTTGTTTCGCATGCCTCGCAGCCTCAAAACCACCCGGAGCTCATAAAACGCCAACACTTTCTCTGCAACTGGTAATAATAGAGAGTTGCCATGGCGTCCCAGGCTCACAAGAAGCCCCCACCACTTCTCCGAAGATACCGGTTTCTGCAGGTTTTTAATAAGGGAGTCCGCCTTTGGGTTATGCAACAACGAACGCTGGTAGGGCGGCTGGAGACGGCAGTAGGCCTCGGTTTGTTCAACATCTGCTGGCCGTCCACCTTGTTTCCTTCGTTTTGTTTATTTACGTGATAACTCCACCAGAAACAAAGACTAAAACGCTGACCGCTGTAGTTTAACAAAAGGGCGGGTCAAGTGTTTGCGTATTGCACCATATCAGCTTTAACTGGGTTCAGTCGTCACCAGACCAGATCTTGGCTGAGTGGGCGTGAGGAAGCACAACAACTAACATTACTTTGTGAATGCAGAAAAAACGAGCTCCAACCAAAAAAAAAGAAAAATGGACGGCAGCTCCAGTACTACCACCGTCAGTGCTCTTCTTCTGCTAGCTAGCTTTTTAGTTGTAATCTCTGACTTGTTCCGCATCAAGACATGGCACTGAATTAAGACGGATACCTCAGAGCACTGCGAACTCATGATATTTAATGAACAGGTTTTGGACACATGGAGGTAAACGCCAGGAAAAGAGTGATCGGGTCAGAAAATACTCAACTCTTCTTGTGAGAATTGAACAGAAGAGACTTAATCAGCCACCGACGATCCAACAGGCCATTAACAGTGCCTTGCTTTTAAAATGTCAGGATAGTTTATGGCCTGGCAGCCTCCAGTGAGAGGAACCTAGAAGGTGATGGATCCTGTGAGGTTTCAAAAATCACAAAAAAGGAATTTTCTGAGTGTTGGTGGGGCACCGTGAAGAGTCAATGGTTGTATTCCTCAGTGTTTCCAACCGACACACTGAAAATGTTTCGCTAAAGGGTTGGATCATGCAAGGTGGTAGTCCCGCTAGTCGTTTTTGTTTTCAAGTGAATCGGCCATTTTGATGCCTGTGCACCTCCCTGCGTGCAGATGTTCCACCAAAACAATTCCCACGATCAATATTTTTGCAGCATCGTGGGTTCAGCACCATCAGGACGATTGTCATTAGCTTATAGAAGGAGCTTGAGAATTTTTTCTTTTAAATCATAAACTGTAGTTATTTTAAATGGTGTCCAGTGGATATAATATATATATAATGCTTTCAAACTGCCCATCGACCTGCTGTTGGCACAATTTGAGGCTGTTTGAATGAAATATTTTGGGTTGAAGCTTTAAATCTTTGTTGTTATTTCTCATTGTGCCATCGATACAGAATCTACAATGTTGGTCAAGTACACTGTCATGAAAAGTCCCATCAATGAGCAGCACACATGAACAAAAATATTGATAATATAGAGGCCAGCGGGTGATATTTTGTGAACCAGATACAGTTGCATGTCACAGTATTACAAAACATATAAAGATGTACCCCACAAACTAAAATATTGTTATTGAGTAAAATGGTACTCTCAGGAAGTCTTTCTGCACATCCATAGTTCAGAATACATTTTCAGGCAAGTCAGAGACGATTAATTGTTCTAAAGGTTTGATCATTAGAGACGAAAGCTGCAACTTACAGCTTTCTGATGACTAGCGCTCAGCTTTTTGGGGTTCAGTTTTGCAAAGACCTGAAGTTTTTTCAGACGGTGAACTGTGTCTGGAACCTTTTAACGTGTTACTTGCATAGTTTTGAGCCGTAAACCAGCAGATGAGAGATCAAACTGAACGTCCTTCTCTGAGAATAGCACCACTGATGCATGTTTGTGGTGATGATGATAGTCAATTCTAACAACACGTTTTATTTCTCGAGCATTTTTCAGCGTGCTCAAAGTGGATTTATGTTAAATAAAAAAAGCCCAGTGCATATAACATGTAGTGCACATAAAACTTTACTATGTCAGTGGTTGAAGGTTTGAAAAAGTCCAGTCAGCCCTATAATTCAGTGGAGCGACGTTCTGAATGTTGAGTCTGTGTTTAATAGCTCATATCCGTCTTTTTGTTTCCTCCACTTGCACCACATTGTTATTAGCACGGCACATTTTTACTGTCGCGCTCAAAATGCTCGTCCCCAGCAGCGACATGCGCGCGTCTCCGTTCCACCGCACGATTCCTCAGTCAGCATCTGTAGCTTCCTGCTAAGCTGACCCACTTGCGTTCGTGCCATGTGTTGTCGTGTTATGCAACCCGTGGTAAGAGGAACAAACTGCGGCTAGCTGTGGCACGCCAGCGGTCGGGTTATTATTAGAGCTCAGCGCCGAACTACACCTGGACACATCCGCAGGCAGGAAGTGTGCTCAGGTGTCAGACGGGATTTTAGGTTTTGTTTTTTTGCCGCAGGTAGATGCAGAAGCGGGTCATGTTTCTGCTGCAGCCACAGTGACCCCGGTGGCTTCGTTGAGGCTTTGCTGTCTGGACTGTAAGAGCAGAGTGGTCGTGGTTTAAACCAAGAATACATCAGCTCTAATCAGTGCTCCATGATATATCTAACATGTATAGACTAATTATGCTGGAAGTGTAGGTGTGTTTTTCAATAACAAAGGATTATTTTGTGTGTAAAACTACACTTAGTTTTGCTTCACAGTTTTTTTTAGCAATGATTAGGGATGCCCCGATCTAGTCCAAGTCATAGAATATTGTAGAAAGTAGAGGACACAGGTAAAAATTCAATACATGCAACTACAGTGTTTAACAACTTTCTTGGACCACCTGTCTAATTATTTAAGTCCTATCTATACATGTATAGACCATCCAGCACCATGAAGTGCTTTAATTCACACTCAGATCTCCTCGTTTTACTATTTTGAATTTTGATTTTTATATTTTACCAAATCTGAGCTTCTCTGAGAAATGAATCAAGCACAACATTCAACCACTAAAACTCATTTTTCTGTTCAGGAATGCAAGTAAATAACTATGAGTTGACATCTTAAACAGGATTTTTTTTTGTACAACAGCAAATTTGAATATTCATGCATAACCATAATAATTATATTTTAGCATTAAAAACATCATTTGGGTTGAAGAGCTTCTACATCCTGGTGTATTAACCATTACAGAAACATAAGAAATGATTCAGGTAATTACCATTGCTGTTATTTTAGGCCAGCTGTGGCGTAAACCTGACTTTGGGTGGTGGTCTGATAAAGTTGTTAGTCATTGTATGTTGTTAAAAATCAGAGTGTTTGCAGCTTTTAAGCCGCCAGCATGCTGCAGCTGATCAACTGATACGCTGATGAAATGTTCCAGGTGAAGCTTGTTTGCGGATATAAACAGACTTCTGACAGAAATGGTTCAGCTCACACAGTTCTGAGTTCTCTCACGTGAGCAACAGGCTGATTTTACTTCAACAGTCCTAAATGCATCTTTTTCAACTGCGGTGTTTAGAACCTGATACGTGTTCTGTTTCCTCCCATGTTTGAACCCTGCTGTATCACGTCACAGTGAGCCGTGGATGTTATTGGATGATGATCAGGCATCGTTTTTGTTGCTTCACGCTGACCCGTCGCTGCTTTTTTGTCTCCGCAGCTTTGTTTATTACACGGACGTGGACTCCAGTGGACAAAGGGACTCTCTGACTAACCGAACTGTGAAGAATCCACGATCACGCGGAGCAGCAGCAAACGACGTCACGGCCGACGATTCCAAAACTCGGGGACAAGGACTTGTTTACGACTCCACGCCACAGCGGCGCTCTTCCAGCACCAACCCGCTCACAATCACTACGACTGTACAGCCGAGGATGCTCCACCGGTCGTCTCTGAAAGCTGACTGGATGCGAAAACCAGGTTTATGACATTGGTCGGTTTCTTTTTGTTGATTTAAGTTCCCTACAGCCTCAGCGTTTGTAATGTAGTCACCTGTGGCACGGACGACTGCGCCGTACTGCGCCAGTGTTTCAAAGCATCCATGATGATTGAGAGCAGCAGGCGACACGACACTGCCCCCTCTAACCTTGTGCCTTAACAATGATCGACACCAAGTGCAATTGGGTTCTCGAATAAAACGATTCGTAGGTTGCGGTCGAAGCACCGAGACGCAGCTGGTCAATTGGATGTTTTTTTTTTCTTGTTAACGATGACACACACCCAGTCTGCAGCAACGTCGTCGAGTTAAAACGGGACTGTTTGGAGTCCCTCCTCAATGTGTAAAGAACTAAAATGAAGAGTGTCACATGTACCCTACCTTAAAACCTCGCTCACCCTGACGGTTCACAAACCTGCGCCACGCTCCAAAGGCAGAGGGGAAGGGCGATGAGGAAAAATGCCCTCTGAAGACGTAGCGGGTCGACTCTAGGAAATACTGTGCAACCAAACGATGTCTGGCAGGGAATTCAAACTGATCTTTTTGGGCATTACTTACTGTTGAATCCAAAGAGCCCTTGTTGGACTAATTGCATTTTTTTGTGTTTATTATCGCCATGTTTGCGAAATTTATGACCAACTTGGTGGACAGACGGCCGCTTTGGTACCTGTGTATGTTCTTGGTATGGCGGTTTTGGATTCCAGCTGAAACAATTAGCTGTCACGTTGTCGTTAAGCGACGCTGAGCATTGTTCTTGATGCTCCCGTTTGTTGTGGAATTAACAATGTGTTCATTTGAAAGAACAGCCGGACACCGAAGCAGTATTGTGCATCTGTGGCGGAAATCTTCTGAAGTAGCTGATTAGAGAAATGTTCTGGGAAAATTTGAGAGAAAAAAACCAACTCAGTTCACCGTCTCTTGGTTCTTTCTCCTCTTTGTTCAAGTGCTTTAAACCCTTTGGAGGGGCATGTGATACGTATTCGGGCCGTGCTCGCTCGCTCGCTCGCTCGGTTGGTCGTGACCTATTGTCTGTGTCGTGGTTTGCTAGTTCGTGAAAATGTATCGCCACACGTGCACAGGTAAAGACACATATGCTACTATAGAGCCGTGAAGATTTCCAGGAAGATGGAGAAGAACAAAAAAATAATAAAAAAGAAGCTCAATAGAGTAGTTCCAACACAGACCAGAGGACGCGGTTGTTTTGGTTTGGTAGCACGGCGGCGTAGTGTTCGGCTTCAGTAGACTTTGAGGCGTTTCGTAGTGTGGTCCTACCTCATTCTCAGCACTCTGAAATCTCCTATCCAGTTCTCTTTGGCAATCTTGTCTTAGTTTCTAATGCAAGTGAGTGGGTTAGATTTTTTACCTCAGACTCTGTCTCTCTCTTTTCTATTTTAAACCTCTAACTGACTTTTCTATGTGGCGTTTTGCGTAGCAACCAACACCTCGCGTCGTAATGACTATGTGTGCAGCATCTTCTCTCTTAGCGGCTGAATTACAGAGCAAGTCCAGCCCCAGGTCCACTCAGCAATACGACATTCAACACCTACAGGTCGTATTAGTGGCAACGCATGCAGGCCTCTGTGTGTTTTAAACAAATTAGAGCAGTTTACGGAAAATGTCACCCATAGATTTGAATTGCATGCGTTGTAGAAGATCTCTGTAAGATGACCTGACGAGTACTTCTTTTGGAAAAGAGTTGGTTCGACTAAAAAATCCAAAGCTGATAAAGTCACACAAGCGAAAGACTGGATTTGTGTGTGATTTTGCTTTTTCGTTTGAATGTTGTAGTTTAATGGAAAGTGAACACACGTGGTCGATACCTGTGGGCACTGTAACTGTTGAATGCTAACAACACTGATGCTTCTGTTCAAACATGAAGATGTTCAATTTGGGGTTGTTTTTCCTTTTCTTTTTTTTTTACTTTTGCCGACAGACTAGTGTAGCACATAGAAAATCAGTTTTTACTCTTCCAGATGTTGGATCTCTTACCTTCTATCTGCGTGTTTACCAGTAAACCTGACGTGGCTATGACATATGGTTGAGCTACAGAACCATTGTTACTAACAGGTTGCACCCGCCCGCCCGCCCTGCTGTCACTTTCTGTACGAGCCACTTGGTTTCTCTCTCTTCAGACTAGTAACGAGTCCACTTGAAAACACTTTACACTATGCAAGATATTTCACTGCCTCACTGTAAACACCGTACGGAGCCACGCCATTCTCAAGATGTTGTTGTATGTTCTATAAACTGTCTTCTTTTAGTGCATTTGTTTTGTTTTTTTTTCCAATTTGTACAAAATGTGTTTTTGAATAAAAAGTTTTTGTTTTTGTTATTGAAGCAAAAAGGAGCCATTAGATGTCTGAGAATGCATCATGTTTTTTTGCTGTAAATATGTTTGACATTTCTTGAAATAAATGATAAAAAATAAGACTTGTGTGTCAGATTCTCATTCGCCTCATATTTATCTAGTTTTTTTTACCCATTTATTGTATATTTTGTGGTAAGATGCTTCAATAGATGGAAGGCCAGATGTGAATTGTGTACACTTTGGCTGATTTGGTTGGTAAATATATCTTTTATGAGTCAAAATTTTGTGGAAATGTAAGTTACACAGGAGCAGTGACCAACATCCTGATGTGAGCTTTTAATTAAAAGTACCACACCCCTTCAAAAACAGACAACATCCATGTACAAACATGCTCAGCAGAAATAAATGAATAGCACAAAGCCTGAGGATATAAGCTATTAGATTAGCATTTCTAATAACTGTCTCGAGGCATTAAGCTAAATTCCAAAGGGGGCGTTCCTTCCAGTCGCCAGATTGGAGCGTTTGAGTTCATGGATGTGTTTCCTGGTTGCTGGTGGCCATATGCTGTGCTCGTCATGTCCTCCGGCTGCCAGGTTTTCTCCTAAGCTCAGCTGTCTGAGGCCTGTTTGTGCATAAGGACACTCTGTCGTTTAAAAACTGGAGAACTTAAAAATTATGTTCATGTGTTATTGAACGTTGACATGTTTTTATTCATGAAAATACACTGAACTAGAAAGTAATGTTACATTGCAAGTGCTGCTTACTGCTTACTGACATAGTTTGCCTCAATTATTTAGCGAAAGGTTCAGTGCCAAAGTGGGCCGAACCATATTTACTAGTTTTCCAGAAAAATGGGGTCAAAATTCTTATGTTGCTAAAAAACAATCCTGGTTGTTGGAGGAGTCATTACATGCATCCAAAGATGTTCCAACACTGTCCAGAGATAGAAACAGCTACTTGAGATGACTTATTTAAGTTTTAATTTCCTTTTGCTGAGCACCAAAGCGGGCCGTACCACATTTTCTTTACTTCTTTACTTTCTTTACTTTTTGAGAAACAAATTGATCCAAGGTTTGTCTTCATAAACAGCATTGAAGAGTTTACATCATGAGGAACTGGAGATACTTCTGAGGACCATGGGGTAGAAATAGATGCTTGGTGGTAGTTCATTAAGTTTTTATTTTACCTCACCGTACCTACCAGTTGAGTTTTCACGGGGCTTGAGGTCGCGCTGTCCGCCATCTTGAATCACAAGCTACCTGCGATATAACAGTCAGCAGTTCCTGTTGCTTGGTTCAGTTCGCCACTAAATTTCAATACCAAAACCATCATGGGCCAAACTTCAAGGTCGCATTGTGACATTACTAGTGGGCTGTTGGTTGGACCACTTTGCCACCAACTAGGAGACCATAAAGACTTAACTTTGGATTTTTTGTGGTTTGGCCTGCTTTGGTACTGAACCCCTCTATTATCACCTGACCGTGATACTGACCGAACAGTGCCTGTAACACGGCTGGTTAAGAAAATAAAAACTACAGCAGCCTACCAGGAAAAGTCATTGATCGCTATCTTCATCTTCCTCCTGCACTAAAACCACTAAAGTCGTCTTCTTCAGTGTCGCAGTTGAACAGCCTCAGAATTCCTTCGTCATACACTTCCTCAGTCTCTCTGTCGTTGTCGCTCTCAATGTCACTTTCGTCTCGAGGCAAATTGGTAAAAATCGTAAAAATCCGTAAATTAGTTGCATCATTGTTTAAACCGTGGTGTTCAAAGCGTGTGAAAAAAGTAGTGGCTAATAGTCCAGAAATTACGGTAACTAATTCTTACTGGATTCTACGAAACGCTCATTTAGAGATTAATAACAGCGCGATAGTAAAAAAAAAAAACGTATGAAACTTCATTCTGTTTTATTGTAGACGCCTAAACATCTCAGCAAAGCTCTGACAAGACAACCATCTGCTCTGCATGTACGTTTATGCGATCAAAAAGGCTCTACCTTCACCACACCTGATGCATTTAACGTAAAATCAAGAGGAGACGTGTGAGCTGTGCGTGACTTTTTTTTTTCTTTCCAGAATTCAAAACCAAGCCCAGTATCAGCCTGTCAACTGTGTGCAACTAGTGGGTATGTTGCTCCAGTAACGTGGACGCTGGAGTAGAAAAACCAACTTGTAATAATAAAAAACATAATTGCATGCATGCATATCAAGCATAGTGCATTCAGTGCTTCATTAGACTCTTCACCCTTTACTGTGCCTTAATTACACAACAGGATTTAACTAAAGTAACAAGTCATCCAGTGTAGAAAATAAATAAGTAAATAAGTAAATCTATTAGAATTCCTGATACAATAATGTAAAAATAAACACTATCTGCTTCATTTCTGTCCATTGTTTCCTAAAGTGCAACACCAAATCTGTAGAGTTTCCTTTTAAAGTTACATATTTTGTTTGCTTGTCTTGTGTGAAACAGGAGGACTGAACGCATACATACATGTAAATGCATACGTGTCGTGTGAAGCATCTTTTCCTCAGACTTGAACGGTAGCGTGGAAGCGGCGGCAGGGTTGAGTGGAAAGAATAACAAAGAGCAGTGATCCTATTAGCTGCTGAGAGAAAGTGGAACACCCCTCCCTGCCATATTATGTCTGTATGGATGTATAAAGGACTCTCCAGGAGGCCATGCCTGTCACAGTCCGGATCAGACACAAAGCCCCGCTCGTACAGCTGCAGACGCCCCGGACGGCGTGATTAGCCTGCTGGATTAATTGGAGAGTAGAGATTAATCAGAGTGATACTTCCCACAGTATACGTACGCTCACACACACACACACACACACACACACACACACACAGAGCTAGAAAACAATATGCTCAGTGCACTTTATGTCCATTTGGGTACACGGTGTCCTAAGAAGCAGGGTGGAGGGGAGGGGAGGGGCGGCTATAGGCAGCGACATGGAGCTAAAAGGTAGGAGGTGGGGGTGGGTCCACCAGATACCACGGTACGCAGGAAAAACAGCTGTGACACGACCACCGAGCAGCCAATGAGAGGGGAGAGAGGATCCTTGAATTCCAAACGAGACAATGAGAGGGTTGTACAAGGATTGTATGTATATATGTATACATGTGTAGGACAGTTTTAAGGGAAATTCCACTGATTTATGGTTGCACTTTGAAAAACAGAAGAGACTGCTTAAGAGAATATGGACAGAATGGAAGCAGTGAGATAGAGTTTATTTATTCATATGTATTATATACAGCAAATGTATTAGACCACCTGGCTAATTTGTTATACATGTATATATATTTATAGACCATCCAGCATCATGAAGTGCTTTAGTTCCCATTCAGCTCTCCACGTTTTAAACAGGAATGAGGAATTTACTGAACTGAATTCACCTTTTTATACCCAAATCTGAGCCACTAAAGCTCATTTTTCTGTTCAGGAATGCAAGAAAATAACTATAATTTGACACTATAATGAAGAAATAATAATGTTTTTACTATTTTTTCAGGGGTTTTTTGTAAAACAATTTTTTTGAAAATTCATGACTAACAACAATAATTATATTTTAGCATTAAACATGTCATTTTGGTTAAAGAGCTTCTACGCACTGGTGTATGAACCATTACAGAGAAATGATTTTGGTAATTAGTAAAGCTGTTAATTTAGGGCAGCTGTGGCTTAAACATGACATTGGTGGTGGTCTAGTAAGTTTATTTATCACTGTATGTATTGGAGAGAAACTTTAAGGGAAATTCCACTGATTTGTACTTTCAAAAACAAGAGGCGCTGACCGTCCTCGTGGTAACTTGGTTTACATGCAACCATCACACAAGCTCACAGGCAGTCAGTAACTATCACCCATCTCTCGTTCCTCCTATCTGCTACTAACATCTAGCTGGTTCAAGTGTTTGGTTCATCCAGTGCTGAACCAGCAAACTACCCATGACATCCCCAGAAGCCACCTTCTGTAAAGTGGCTTCCGTTGATGTCGAGCCTCATCGTCAGCTTCTCTGACTGTGTTTCTGTTCCTGCGTCTGAGAAGGCCGTCGTCTCTTCTGGTCTGGTGTGTTCACCTGAGTCGACCGACATCAAGTCTGGGGTCTTGCCTCAGTTGACTGATGCTTCTCCTGCTCCAGAGCCAGGAAACACCCACACCTGCTGGGCTCCATCAGCATCGACCTCCTGCTCACCATCTCTACTCCTGGTTTTGAGGTGGGCATGTGATGGGAGATGGGAGTTCTGTCTTCGCTGCTGGCAACCTGAGCACCCCAGCCAGCCTCGGGACCCCCCTCTGGACCGGTTCTGCCAGTTCTCCCTGCCTTAGGGCCGCCCTCCAGGCTGTGCTCGCCTACTTTTAAACTCCTTTGTTTAGTTTATTTAAATAATTAAGAGCAGGAGTGACAATCTTTCTGTGGTCATAGAATTGAAAAAAAGAATCCTCAATCTCTGTATTTATTCTGGCGGTCACAAAACATTCTCAGACGATGCCATTTAGGATTTTTTTTGTTTGTTTGTTTGTTTTTTAAAATTAAACAAATTTTGAAAATGTAGTTTCCTGAATCCTGTGTGAGATTAATTAATCAAAACTAATTACAGATATTCAAAGAGGCACGATCTTCGCTTTAAAATCTGTGTAAACCATCTTCACGCGACTGATTTCTATTTTTCATCTTTAGATTTCCACGTTTGGCGGCTAATTTAAAGGAACGGCGGCGTACGAAGCAGGTGTGCAGCCAGCAGATATTCAGCCCCGGTGGAGACTAGATTTATCGAAGGAGTCGGATTAACTTCACTTGTAAGAGCACATGTTCTGCAGTCTGAGGCTGTGCTGGCTTTGTTTTCAGGCCTGCTGCCAGAGAACAACATGTTCCTGATCATATAGAACAGCAGGGCGGGGCTTAACGCACACACTGGGCTGTGAACGCCCCCCAGCATCTAGACGTGCTTCACTCCTGCTCTGAGGCCTGCTCACTGGGATTTCTAAGGCTGCACTGTTTTTAAAAAATCATGTTTCATTTCTTTAACTGTTTTATGTATTAAAATGCTTTGTGAAGCACTTTGCAACTCCAGTTTTGAAAGGTCCTACAG